GCCAGGGTTCTGGAGGTGTTCTAAACGTAATCCATTTCATGGTGGCCACACAGGTCAAGCAACCCAAAATATAGTGAGAAGGGATGAAACATATTTGTGTGCAGGAGAAACGAATGATTCTGCTGGCGATGGTCCCCCGCGTCCTGTGGCCACACCTTGCCGTTCAGGAGAATTGGAACCAAACATAAAAAAAGTTTAAAGAGAGTCAACTTAGTAAATACGGGAAGGATAGATAGAGAGTGAAAGGGCTGCAGTAGCTGAGAGTAGTAGCTGCAGTAGCAGAGTTGTTTTTACATTTTTTTTTGGACTTTTGTTTTTTCCTTACACCTGGCAGGACCAGTGGAAGCGCCTGTTCCTGATGTTCCCGTTCCTGAGCATCCTGGGCCTCTATCTGAGCCACCAGCATCTAAGAGAGCTTCGTCTATGGATGTTCCTGACCCAGTTCCTGCCACCAGCTCTGTTTCTGCTGATCATCCCAGTTCTGGAAACAGGACGCCACGTGATAGTCCTGTCAAGAAGGAGAAGAAGCCGAAGCTTGAGACTAAACCGGTTCAAGTCATCAAATCAGAGCTGAAGCAGCAGAAGACTAGCGATTTGAAAGCCAAGAAGCCCTCTGTCCCGGATGCTTCTGCGGCTTGTGGGGCACCACAGGTTGAGGTGAAGAAGCAGGAGAAGTGTGCGGCCAAGAAGGAGTTCCCTGCCAAGGTCAAGCTAGAGACTGCCAAGGTCAAGCTAGAGAGAGGCTTGACAACGCCAACGAAGCAGAGTCCCGAGACACCAAAGGCTACCCAGAGGAAGGAGAAGCGGCGCTTTGACAAGGTGGACAAAGTCATTGCCACTGGGACAGACTTGGGGCAAGTTTTTTTGTTGGATAATACATGTTGTTTATTTTTTGTTGGTTCTGTTGTTCTGGAGTTCTGGATCTCAAGACACCTGCCACAGGCCCAGCATGCCGAGAATGTTGCCAAAGACGGGGTCTACCTGGATGCGCTGGATTTGTCAGTTATAGCTCAGTCCTTTGACGTGGCTGCTCGAATGATTTGTTCATGATCTTTCAGATTTTAGACTTTTTATGATTTTTTTAAGGGTTTCCTAGACGTTTGTGGATGATTTTGTTTTTAGAAGTAGTGTGGTTGAATCACCATGATCAGGAGCCTTTCATGGTACGAGACACCCATGCAAAGACGTTGGAGATTGCAGCCATTGCTGACTATGTGAAGGAGTTAGTTCCTGGCAGTAGTCTGGATCTGAAGACATCGAGTGGGAAGCAATGGACTTTCATTCTCTGCAATGCCAACTATGATTCATGTGAAGAGCTCAACCACTGGGTCCCTGCCATTTCTTCAGCAAATGTGGGGGAAGAATATTTGAGGTCATTGATGGGCTTGGAGAATTGCCAGGTTGATCTCAAGATTGCTGAAACCCAACATCGCTACATCGAGTTGCTGGGCAAGCATGGACACGATAAAGCAAGCGCTGAGGAGTCTTCGCTGCTGGATCGTGCTGAGCAGGAAATGTTCAGAGCCCAGAACTGGCAGAAGTTTCGAACGAGGTGCGCAACGGTTGGCCTTCATCCGATGGAAGTCCCGTGCGATGGAAATTGTTTGGTTTGGTCAGCGCTTGTGTTGATATCTGGAGAGTATGATCAACCTCCTGAAAGCCATTCTGAGATGATGAACATCAGGAAGAAGCTTTCCCAGGATTGGATGCTCCTACAAGAATGGGACGTTTGGAGATCGTTGTTCCATACGATGCATTCTGACTTTGGAGCTGATACTCCCAAGAAGGTCAAGCCCAATGCGTCTGCAGAATTGACAAGTACTCCATTTCATGACAAGAAATTTCAGAAGAAGGAGAAGCCCAAGATGGTGGACCAGTGCGCACGGGCACCAAATTTTCAGCGAGCTCGTCCAAATCTTTCCCTGACTTCAAAGAGTGCTTCCAAGAGAACACAACAGGATGATCAGGCAAAGGTGAAAAGCGAGGAGGCTGAGATCTTTGTTCCAGAGTGTGAAGCCACAGGCAATGAGCCACAACCAGTTCAGAAGCGACGGCGCTGTGGCAAAAAGAAGAACAAGACTATAGAAGAACGCAAGTTGATTCGTCTTCGCAAATTTCTAGCGAAGAGTGGTGCTCAATATGCCCGTTGGCAATCATTACATTGGCAAGCTGCAGGAAGCAAGAAATGTGGCACATGCCCAGATGGCAAGTATACTGATTTCCAGAAGTCCTTGGCCTTCAAGAGCCCGGAAGACAGAAACACTACCTGTCCAGCCTGTAAGAGTTTCTTGGAGCTCATCAACTTTGATGATGTCGCATGCAAGCAGTACATGGACAGCCGTCTCAGTGATGATGACGGAAGTGACCAGGAGGCAGATGCATCCGCTACTACCGCGATTGTCCTAGCCAACGTGCCGTATGAGAAGAATTCCGATCATCCAGATCATGGTGGGCCAGCTCCATTAGCTGCAGACGCTGAGGAGGTTGATCTTTCCTTGGACGCTCTTTGCCGATCAGTTGATCCATACTATCAGGCACGATCATTGTTTTAATTTTATTGTATTAGTTTTATGATGTTTTATGTTCTATTTTTTGTCCTGCAAAAGAATGTATATAGACATGATGCGAGCCATCAGTCGTTGCAAGCTTAATCCAGCCTAATGGAGCCTATGAAATGCTGATCTAGACGTGTGTTTGTATGATAAAACTGTCTCGTCGCATTGCTTTGGAAGGCTTTAGAATGCGTTAGAGATCTTTAAGAGATGCACGCACAAATTACGTGGATTGCCTTCTCGAACTTCTCGGTGGACACTCTTGACAGCGTTACGTGGTGGGGATGGGGATGGATAGGGATACCATGTTTTGAATACCACAGGGGTGACATGAATTGTTTATGTTTGTTCATGTTTGTTCCATCAGCTATCTTTGTGGAAAGAACATTTCAATGAAGACATGATAGCCTTGGACGTCAGGGAAACCACTTTATAGAGTACTGTATATTATATTATATTATATAATATTATATTATAGTATAATAGCATAATATATCATATAAGTATCATATATATAAACTTAGGACTGGCATGAAGAAGTCACAGGTACTCAGGCCTTCTAAAAGCTAGGTAGAAGGTCTGAGCTTTCTGGTGGGGGGGGGGCAGGTGGTGGAAATCATGGCTACGTGGAACCTCAGGCAGGCCATTTTATAGAGAGGTGTGCTCTGTCTCTCGACT